ACGGATGGATGGATGGATGGATGGATGGATGGATGGATGGATGGATGGATGGATGGAAGGAAGGATGGATGGATGGATGGATGGATGGATGGATGGATGGATGGAAGGAAGGATGGATGGATGGAATTATTTTTTTATCACTGGTTCTTCAGTTCCATATGTGGCAGATTTTGGTGCAATTCATTCCAGTGAATTCAAAAGCAATTCTGTTCATTTTCTGCTTATTGATAAGAACAGGTTGATTAGGTTCAGTGATCCATGAACTGACCTGTGACCCCAGTAGCCAAAGAAGATTTTCCCTCTGTGTTTCCTTTGATAGCTTGCACAGAGATCTGGTACTCTGTTCCTGGATACAGACCTGCAGAAAAATAATCTTGTAATCTTGTGGTTCATTATACTATTGGTTTATACATATATAAATAAATAAAGATACTTCAAAAATTTTTCATTTTGTCCCTAAATTACCTTTAACTATCTTGTAAAACCTATAATCTATTAAAAATTAATTTACAGTTACCCAAAGACATCAGTGAAACACTGCATTTTGTATTGTGACAATTATCCTGTCTCTATCATGTCTTATCTTGTCTATGTGATATATATTGGATCTATTGAATTTTATCATCAATAATTTACTGTACTTGCATTATATACCTTTACATTCTACATTTCATATGTACCGTTTGATTCTGTGGTGTACAAAAGTGCATTCATTGCACAGCGTGTTTGTTTTTCGTATGAAAGTAATTTTTAAAGCACAGTATAAGTTTGTAATTTGAGATCAAATCAGAATCCTAAGGTCAAATAATTTGATGATCATTAAAGGCAAACTTATAGACATAATTTTAATTGGATAATTTGGGTATATTTACATACAATTTTATATGAAAACTTTAGGCTGAAAAATTGATATAATTCTATGACTGATTTTATTTATCCTGTTCAATGCTATTCTTTTGTGAGAAGACTTACCCACAATAGTGTGTTTAGTGCGTGCCTCCTGGCTCATCTGTACCTCCAACTCCTCCTCCTGTCCCAACGGGTCAGTGTGTTTGAGACTAAAATAATCCACTTCTGCCTGTGGGTTCTTCCAGTCCACTTGGATAGAAACCTCCGTCTGGCCAAGGACTCGGATATCATCAATAGCTGAGACATCTGGGAGGAAAAGAGGACATGGTGGAAATGTCAGAACAGACACAAACCTCATGCAGAAAACTCTCCAACAAAGCAAAGCAGATGAAAAGTACGTGCTCTGCTCTGTCCCATGAGCTGATTCCTTAGTGCTGTGTGTTAATTTTACCCATTCAAAAAATAACCACGTTTTCTATGTTTTTACAAACATTTGAGACACTTGAATAATTTGATCATACTATCAGTGTGAAGAAATCTGTACAAAAATATAATATATGTACTTATCTGTTTTAGTGAATACCAAGAACGATGCCAAAGTGACTGTCGAGGGAATGTGTATGCATCATGCTCTATTCTTTTACCATATTAATATAGACTTTATAAACTTTTCTGCTCCTTTACTGTTATTGTGAATGGTATTAAATGTTTCCATGATCTTTCCTCTATATTATAATCATTCTTGATGTGAATATCAGTAAGAGGATAGTGGAGAGGTCATCTTTTAATATGTTGGAGACTTATGAATGCTATGGTAGACACAGTGATTATTCACAGTAAGAATCCTTGAGAAATGTTTACCTCCAGCGGCTCCCTGTGTGCAACTGCTGGGTTTGGTTCTGAAACCACTAGGTCAATGTGAAGGGGAGGTGCAGGCCCCTGATGAGTTCTCTACAAAACTAACTTTTTCAGTTCCGGAAGGGAGAACAGGTCAGAACTGCAGGTGAATGCATTGATACGTGTGTTCTTGTAAATGCAAGGATCTTCTGTGAGTTGTTGGCTATTCTCTAAAGCTTTGTAATAAATCTGAGGAAGTCTACCCCTGATCGTTTGGTAATCTCTTTTTTCCACGACTGTGAACCACAGGCGCAAAAATTTAAATGATGTCACCAATATAATTTTAAATGGCATGATAATGGGGCTGTATTGAAAATTAGCGGTTAGCAGAAATACAGAAAGAGGAAATAAACAAGGATTTCATGAAATGCTCTGAATTTATTACACTCACTGGCTCCCTAAGATACACCTGTTCAACTGCTTGTTAACACAATTAGCTAGTCAGCCAATCACAAGGAAGCAACTCAATGTATTTAGTTGTCTAAACAAGGTGAAGTCAACTTCCTGAAGTTCAAACCATCAAGATAAAGAAGAGAGGGGATTTAAGTGACTTTGAATGTGGTATGGTTAAGAACTACTGATCTAATGGATTTTTTAAAAATGAAAAACATTGTTAAAGTTGATAGAGAATGACCCAAAAAAGAGAAAATATCCAGTGAACAAACAGTGTGTGTGTGAAGAAAAAAGCTTTGCTGACGGAGGAGAATCTACAGACTGGTTTGAGATGACAGAAATACAAGTGGAGCTCAAATAACCAATTATCCCCACTAAGGTTGGTAGAATACCCTGTCTAAATGTACAACATGTTCAGCCTTAGCATATAGCCTTTAGCAGCAGAAGACTACACAGGATGCCACTCGTGTCATGGAAGATCAGGAAACTGATGCTACACTTCACACAGGCTCACCGATAAAAGATTTAAGAAACATTGGTCTGAGGTGTCTCATCCAATGGTCTCCATAGTCACCAGACCTGAATCCATTCAAGCATCTTAGGGATGTGGTGGAATGGAGGATTTGCAATATGGATGTGTAGCTGACAAATCTGCTGCAACGTCTGATGCAATCATGTGAATATGTTCTAAAATCTCCAAGCAATGTTTCCAACCAGTGGCGCCAGAACGGGGGGGGGGGGGGGGGCATTGGCCCCCCACACTTTACGGCCCTGCCTGTCAGCTACTCCCAGACATTTACACAGGCTACACCCAACGCTGACAAGCTGTGATTGACGTCTCTCTGTGTGTGTGCATCTACATACAGACAGAGGCACAGGCAAAACCTACAGCATTCAGATCTGGGCCAAATCAGTTTACAAGTTTCCAGGTCCACATAACCAACACCAGAGGGTTTACACACATGTGCCAGCTCCAGGTTGGGCTGGGATCATGAGCCTGCCTGACACCTGCGAAAAATGTTTTAGCTCTGATCTGGTCCGGGTCTGGACCAGATCAGAGCTAAATATAAAATAAGAATTATATATGTGTGCCACATCTGGTCCAAATGCAGTTTTTATAGCACCTGTGACCAAAGTCACAAAAGACCCCCATGATGAACCCCCTGAAAAATGAATCTGGCGCTGCTGTTTCCAACATATTGTTGAATCTATGACACAATGATTTAAGGCAGTTCTGAAGACAAAATGAAAAAGTCTAACCCAGGACTAGCAAGGCTTTTCTAATAAAGTGGCTCGTTATTAATTTTATTTTTACCTCTTTGTGGTCCATGCTGGGTTTAAATGTTTGGAGTTACAAAAGAAACTAAATGTACTTGCGGTATTTGCAAATGATCTTTAAGCTGGAACAATGAGCATGTAGAGCAGCGCAAATTATTGTTTATGCAGATGAACAAAGGATAAAATTGTCTTAAAAAAAGCGATGTAGACTCTAATAAATCCTTTCAGTTCAGTCTAATTATCTCAAATTTGTGCATTAAACTATCTGAAATTGCAAATTGATTATATCATGGAAAATGTATGCTATAGTAATAGTTTGAGCAATTCTTTAAAAATAAATTTAAAGTTGTTAATTATAACACAATTTAAAAAAGGTAATTATGATACATGTTTTGTTACTGTCTTAAATTTCATAATGTGATTTTACTCCAGTTGGATACAGATAGGCCTATACATTACAATACTGTGCTTAACTCTACTGGCCAATTCAGACAAAAAAAAAAAAAAAAAAAGAATGATACCACCTTGAAGACCTTTCTAAAAAAAATGATTAAAATTTTCCTTATTTAGAAATGGGGATAAAATGACAATAATGAATTTCACCCAAAGCCAGAAAGCCTATCTGAATTTATAACATATGGTAAGAAAAGATTGTCAAAAACCATCAAACAAATTAAATGAAAAAGGGTTGGCTATTTTTTTTTTTTTTTTTTAAGAAAATAAAAGAAACATTCACTTTAATGCTCCTTTGAAGTAGACCATTATTAGAAGTTAAAATGAAAACTAAAGAAGTAAACTCCTCGCACAGCAATATGTCCAATAATGCTGTTTTATTCTCATGAACGTCCCGCTGTGAGGTTTATTTTAAAAACCAAACAATAGAATCAAACTCACCTCAATCTTTTTCAGGCTCTCATTAACTGCCATCATTTTTGTCAAGTAATCCCTTCTCCGACACATCTGTCTGCTGCCACATCTGTGAGTTACAGCTAACAGTAAATGCATCCCTGCAGTCATTTCCTTGAGATTACCATACTATTTATTGCCTGACAAACCAGAGCCTGTAATAAAATACTTGGTGCTTTCTGATGCCATCTTAATCATTGCTTAACACAGCAAGATGAGCTGGATACAGAGAAAATGACAAGCAAAATTAAAGGCCTAGTATTCCATGAAGGAACTCATATCGCCTCAAACCTTTCAAAAGAGGCATTGTATTTTCTGGTAAAACATTTAAAATATACTCTTGTGGGACCTCATGCACAGTTGTCTTGTGAGATCTCGGAGAAGGTGCTGAGGCTGACACTCAACTTCTTCCACAACATTTTTTTTAGATTAAAGTCTGTAAAACTAACTTATGTTATACCATTTTATCTTATTTAAGGTTGCACACCATCTTGAATTGTGGTGGCTCCAAAAGTCAATCAGTTGTAGATGTACATCCATTGATTACTATGAAAAATAAATAAATGTATATTAGAATCTGACAAGTGATTCATGAGATATTTTGCTATAAAAAGATTGACACTAAGAGTTAATGTGAAAGCTTTAAGCAAAGATCTTGCACAATTTGTAGATGTTTGTAAAATTTAGTGAGATTTTGGTGTATACATTTTTAATACTTTTAAAAAATTTCAACAAAACATTTCAGCTGTGCTATACATTTCATGAAATGTATAGCACAGAAACACACAAGAATAAAAAATATATAATTTCCCTTTTCTAACTTTTGATGATGGGTGACAGTAAGCTTTTTATTTTCTGAAAACATATCTAATTTCTCTAACCTTGAGATTTTGACATTAAACACCTTGAGATGCAAAGAACAACTTTGGTTAATAATCAATTCTGTGACACTGGAACGTTTTTTTAAACTCATGACCAAGGCACGCTGTAATCAAATATAAAGTGATCCAACTACATTTTATGATGAACAACCTCCTTGACATTGGCCAGGCAGCATATAATTAGCAGCCTATAATGGTTTTAGTGCTGTCTGTGCTCACCTGTGGTTGCTTCAATCACATTCGCTTCACTTCTGGTCTTTTTGATGACATCATAGATTTGGACCATGTAGGTAACCCCTGGAGTCAGACCCTTGATGAGGTAGGAATTCTCTGTGTTTGAAACCCGAACCTGCAGTGGATTGAAACAAGGTTTTACAGTTGTGGCAAAATAATAAGTTCTGTTCAATAGAACCATGAATAAATAAACATACCTGCTTCATGACAACCTCGTCATATTTGGGATGATATGTTAATGTATAATACTCAGCGCCCCGAACAGAGTCCCACTCAACCAGTAGAGAGACGTCAGTCTTTTGGATCAACCGCAGACCCTGAGGTCCAGTGACTTAGAGAGAAACAGAGGCATGGACACATGGAGAGTGAGACTAGTAACAGTTTAATTATGTTTATTTTAACTAGTTGCTGTCTAGTTCCTTCTGTCTTCTCCTCTTGGTGAATATGTCTTTTACCTAAAGTGATATTTTAACACATTACATTTCTGCAAAACCCCTGAAAATCTGATTGCGTTGCAACAAAATTAAAGGATAAGGTCTTGAACCAGACAAAAGCAATTTATTTTTAAAAATAGGATTTTCAATCCAACAGGAAAGAAACATTACTTTTTCATGTGATCTTACGACACAAGGACATCACATTTTGGTGAAGATGCTAGAAGAATATACTAAAATAAAGAACAAAAGCAATGTGGTGGAATGAGGATATCTACTACCAAGAGGGATTCTTTGGGAGTAAAATAAATAAAAAATAAACCCTATCTAACCATAAATTGTATTGAATAAAATACGTCACATAGAAATATATGTCAAGGGTAAGTTTTGTCATGGTAAAAGACTAACAACTTTGCCAGGGAAGGAATTCACATTAACTTCAGGTGCTGTTCGACAAAGCAAACCCAGAACGCTACTGTATATTCATCTTTAAATAACTTCTTGGTCTGCTGTCTTCATACATCTCCTCCTACATGTCACTGTGTGAGTGCAGTTGCAGCGTGCGCTCTCAGGACATTATTACATGCAGTGCCCCCTCAGTGAGGACTGAACTAGGCAAAAGGGCCTTCTCCTACTCTGCTCCTGTTTCCTGGAATATCTTGCAAAAAGATCTGAAGCTCTCGACCTCTCTAAGTGGCTTTAAACATCTACTATGTTCCTGGCAAAAACCAATGCAGACATGTTCTGTGTTTTTAGTTTTCTACAGCGCCTTATAATCTAGCTGTTTTGTTTGTTACATTTTTAAACACCATTTTATTTTCACTTGTTCTCCATTTGTATGCATCCTTTATGGTTGTCTATTGTTGTCTTTGTTGTTCACTGTTGTCATCACTCTTTGTTAAAACCAGGTCTCTCTTTTAAATGAGTCTCCAAGGCTCAGTGGGATTAACCTGTATAAACAAAGGTTGAATATATGTTTTTTTTTCCATACATGTCCCATGCTGGAGCAGTTAGTGCACTACTGTCGCTACTATAGGCATGAAAGTCAAGAAACTTTGCTCTTTAATAATATGTCAAAGTCGTTAAAGGGAATAAATTAACTCATTAAGGCTGGAAAGTGGTGTTTTGAAGCTGAACCAAACAACATCTGTAATGTGAAGGGACTAAAAGTTTCTAAGTTAATAAGGAATTTATCTAAAAAAAAACAACATATTAAAACTAAGAACGACACTGCTCTTTAAAGGATACACAGTAGGTCTTAGTGTATAGTTCAAAAGTCAAACTCCCATCATAACTAAGTGGAGAATGGCATCCATTATCCATATGTTAAAATGGAACGTAGCCACAGAAAAGAATGTCTCGACTGTTTTGCTTCTTTGCTCTCCTGTTCCCAGAACTATTACTACTATTACTGTTAACATCTTAAAACAACTAAGCGTTTGGTTTTTTTTTTCTTACCTCCCACTTTTCTTTTCCATTTCAACATTCACTCTGACATGGTTCTTCTATTAATGTTGGATTTGGTTCAATAGCACCCATACATGAAACTGCAGATCTGTCTGTAGCTATTCTCTGGAAACAGTGGAGCAAAGCAGCATGAGAAACACCAAGGTTTGACATTACTGACCTGCTACTGTGAAGTCTGCACCGTTTATCACCTTCTTCAGGTTTCTAAGAGCATGGCTTAGAACCAGACGTACAGAAGCTGCTTTAAACGGTTCTTTTTTTCACTACTTTGTTCACATTTTAAATGCAGAACTGATCATGGAATGAAGGATTGGAAAGTGGTTGTAGAATAAAACATGCCAAAATTGTTAATGGACCAAAAAAGAAAAATAACAACAAGAAAATTTCATGCTTCCATTTTGTTATTAGAAAAGTTTTTATTTGTGTGGAATTGACTCTTACAGCCAGTATCCACTGTCCATGCTTGGCTGCCACTGTTCATGCCGCTGCTTTCCAGGTCTTAGATTGCTTCAGAAAGTCATTTTGTAATCTACCCCTGAGGCAGTTCTGTCTGAGTGGCTGGCTGAAGTGTTTTTAGCAGGAAAGGTGATGACTTTTCTGCAGGGAACAAAGCAAGAAGGGGGTCCAAAAGACAGCCAGCTGTTGTTATATTCCTGTGGTATTATGTGACCTGATGTCATTAGTCGTTTAGCTGTCAAAGCTGCCGTGCTCATGGGTCAGCCCATTGAAAAGTCCCCTTCAGCTGCTTGATCTTAAATAACTCTGGAGATGTTTGAAATTCCACAAAGTCAACCAAACTGGTCCCAACGATCACTGCCATTATTCAAGGTTATCAGAAAAAAAAAAAAAAAGAAACTAGCCAAGAATTACAATAAATTATTGTATATTTTAGAAGAAAAGTACTGCTTTTGATTCAGCTCTTATTGTCTAATTTCTAATTTTTCTGCACAAGTGAATTAAGGTACACACCGGGGACAAATTGAAATTGTGTACTTTTTATGGTTAAAGTATATTACCAACATGTCTTTCATTTAAAAATGATTTATTGTTTATGCTTATGAAGTTAACTGTCCAAATCTTCTGGATTGTTTTACTACTTCTGACAACTTTTCACATTCGAAATAATGGACTGTTTTGTCCATTGTGTCCAAAGTGACATGTGGGAGCAAATGGAAAAAGGGAAAATAAGCTACGTTGTACAAATGTTACAAGTTGTTAGTTGCACCTTTAATTTAAGCTCCCAGAATACACATGACCACATGAAGTCATAGAAAGAAGAAAAGGTAAATGCTTTTTCTTTTCTCAGCTGGTTTTAACTTTCAGTAACTCGTTAAAAAAAGTGGAGCTTCTGGCTGGAAAGTGAGAAATCTGCCGATGAGCTGGTTTCTCGTTTCATGTGCCTTGTTTGAAACCTTAAGCAGTGAGGCATCCAGATCATTGACCCTTTTAAGTTTTACTCATATATAGAAGCGTATAAGTACTTTCTGGAAAACTGACTGAAAGTTTTATTGCCTGGTCTTAGCATGAAGATGAATGTTAAATTATTATTTTGAACATGGGAGCATTGTGCTTCCCAATGGTCCAGTATTACCTTTTACAGTCATCTTGCATTTTTATACGCTTGTCAAAGGCTGGAATGTATTATGGATGGATGGATGGATGGATGGATGGATGGATGGATGGATGGATGGATGGATGGATGGATGGATGGATGGATGGATGGATGGATGGATGGATGGATGGATGGATGGATGGATGGATGGATGGATGGATGGATGGATGGATGGATGGATGGATGGATGGA